CCGGGTCTCCAGGCCAGTTTTTTTATGGATGATCATGGAATGGTGCACCCGCCTGCGCTAACGGTGTACGCTGGCGGGCCACCAGTGGAGGATGATAAGATGAGCATGAGGTCAGGTCAGTTAGCCCATCGTGACAAATTCATCAAATTTATCACGATGGTTTCAAGGGGAACCGCGTGGAGGTCGACCTGACATGGTACATTGCTAGCAATGAGATCATCAGTCCACATTACTAACTATCCCCTTTCCCCCTCTCCAGGCCAGTTAAGTCGGCCGAACTGAGAATCGGAGACCTGGACGACTCGACACTGGTGGCTGACATTGTTGTCGCTGTGATGCGCGAGGGGGTTGCCTGGAGTCCGCGGTAAAAACCGGGGAAACTCCCCGGCCGGCTTAGGATCGGGTAGGTGATGGCGCGGGTACAGGCTCTGGACCCGCGACCTCAGCGGTGTTATCGGTGCCTTCTTACAGGCCACGTGGGCGTCCGATGCACCGCCGGGAAGACTGCAGCGGAATTCGTTTCCGCTGCGAAAGCGGCCACAAGGCCGCACGGTGCGCCGCGCCATCACCGCACTGTCGGTACTGTGCCGCGGCGGGTCGGAATTCCGACCATAGAGTGGGCGTCACGAACATGTGTCGCCCGCCAAAGGCCCGAGCCGCGGCCCGGGCCACAGGTGGGGGGGGGGGGGGGGGGGTGCATCGACTCCAAAATTGACCCTAGGGTGGAAGATTGTTAGGGCAATCCGAAGCTCGCCGGCGAGGTTTTAGGGTCTGGCGGTGGCGTCCAGACACGCCTGCACGCCTAGATGAGATCCCTTCGATGGGTACCATGCCGGGGTCTTGGGCGAATGCTTTGCGTTCCCCTAGCCCGGGTGATATGATTCAAGGAGGAATAGTCGTCAGGTTTTTAGCAGGTAGGAGGCCGGCAGGATCCGTTCCTCCCTAAGGGAATGGTTCTCCATGATGGATTTTCCTGACTTTGTAAAAAAAAAGGTGTGTATGTTAAACTAGGTATAACTTATTTTTTATAGGAGGAGACGTTTGATTCCATCATACACGTTTTGATTTATATTCCATCTTTAATTCATACTAGCTGTACCCGCGACTTCGTCCGTGTAAATGATGAAAAAATATTTAACTCAATTAACACAATATAAGTCAAATAAATAAGTTTCATCGTTTTAGCTTCAAAAATATTAAAATATAAAAATAAATATTTAATCAATAGGCTACAAAATAAATTTCAAGCTTCTAGCTTTAAACATGACGATACATCTATATAACCTTGGATCTACCCTTTCAATCCTCTTGCAACCCTTTTTCACATTAGAAGTAACCTATGTTCTTTCTCAGGATCAAGTCTATCTATGTCTGTTTCAAATTTCAATTTAAATCGGTTCAGTAATTTTGGCGTGTAAGCGAAACAGACAAAGTTACTTTCACATTTATAATATAAGTAAGGTACTTAATAAAGTAACTCTAAAAACACAAAGAAAAAGTTTAATCGTTTAAGCTTCACAACCACACAAACAGCAAATTTCACAATAACTTTCAAATTTTACAAACATTGAATGTCATATTTATTGATATTAAACAACACCTAGAAATGAGTCTCAAACTTCTAGTTTTAAAAAATGACGATTCTTCCATACAGCGGTTCATTGCAACCCTCTTACAATCCTTTATTCACACATTCAAAGTACCCTATATTCTTTGTCCGGGTGTAAACTAACTGTGTACGAAATTTCATTTAAATTTTTAATTTACCTAAGGGTAAATTTTTTACAAACAATGAATGTCATATTAATTATATTCAATCAACAGCCTCAAAACTAAGTTTCAAGCCCCTAGCTTAAAAAATGACGAACTTACATAAAAACTTGCATCCCTATTTTATTTTACCCCCTTAAGGGTATTTTTTACAAACAATGACTGTCATATGTATTTATATTTGAATATGATTTCACTAAAACAACCTTCAAAACTCAAACACACAATTTTTATTCTCAACAAACTTTTTATTCCACTAATTTTAACAACTCTCTAATACTACTAAAATACAGACCACAGACTCATTACATTTTTAGATTGTAATATATTTGTTTTTTTTTTTAATCAACTTCAACATTCTCCGCCGCCAAGGATATGCCCATATCCTTGTACGTATCATTCTCAGTTGAAATCAGGAAGTCTACAAAGTTTAGACACCGAACGCTGCATAACACCTGTGGCTGTACGAACATCGTAAACTCTAGTTAGGCCATCGGAACTCGGATACTTCTTTTGTATTCGACCAAGGCGCCAACTGGATGGAGACGCTCTTGAGTCTTTTATTAAGACCATATCTCCAATCTCGAAATCTTTTTGAACTCTCATCCATTTCGGACGTTGCTGTAATCGAGACAAATATTCAGTTTGCCATCTTGACCAAAAATCACGCACCATTTTCTGCGTCAATTGCCATCTCGTTAAATTGGATACATTTACCTTTTCATAGTTTCTGTCTGGTAAAGTTATAGTAGGCTCTCCAACAAGGAAATGTCCGGGTGTCAGATACTCGTAATCATCATTAAGTGCTGTTAGTGGACGCGAATTAAGACAAGCCTCTACTTGAGTCAAGACTGTGTATAACTCCTCAAAAGTAAGCGTAGTATCTCCTAGTATACGCTTAAGGTGATACTTCACAGATTTCACCCCGGCTTCCCATAAGCCTCCAAAGTTAGGAGCGCCAGGTGGTATATATTTCCAAACAGTGCCTCTATCATCCAACAAAATTCTCAATTCTTCAGGAAGTTCGTTTCTACCCTGTTTCCACATCTCAAATAGGGTTTTCTCTGCTGATATAAATGTAGTTCCGTGATCACTCCACAGCTCATAACATCGACCTCTTCGTGCAACGAATCTTTTAAATGACGAAATAAATGCTTCTGTTGTCATGTCACTGACTAACTCAAGGTGTATGGCTTTTGTTGCCATGCAAATAAATAGGCATATATATGATTTATATGCTTTAGCTCCTCGTCCTTTGCTCATTCGACATAGTATAGGACCAGCATAATCGACTCCACTTATTGAAAATGGGCGAGATGGATTCACTCTAACGTCAGGTAAGTTTCCCATTAATTGATTACTAGTAGTAGCATTATATATAGCACATTTTTTGCACTGTCTATAAAATCTCTTTATTCTTTGACCGCCATTTATAATCCAATAATTATTTTGCAGGTATGAAGTCATTAATCGAGGACCTCCATGCAGCGTCTCTTTGTGTGCATCATTCAACAGAAGTGGTATAAGTGGATTATCTCTGGTAAGTATGACAGGATGTTTTCTTTCATATTTCAGCTCTGCATGCTTTAAACGGCCAGCAACTCTCAGAACATCATTCTCATCAAGGTAAGGACATAATGGTAATAATCGACTACATCTTTTAATAATTTTCTTCTTTTTCAGGGTTTCTATTTCATCTGTAAAGTCTATTTGCTGAGCTATTTTAACACAAACGGTAAGTGCCTTATCTCTTTCTTCACAATCTATGCTTTTATGTTTAATATTTTCTCTTTTTACATTTTTCATCCATCTTCTACAAAAGGCAACAACGTTCAATAGTTTCTTCAGTGACGAAAATCTATTCAATAAGGTAAGTTTAAATTCATCATCTTTAGTTTTTATAACTGTCGTATTACATTTAATCTGAACTCTTTTTCCAACTCTGTTTCAGGAATTATATCTTTTGGTAACATAAAATTAGACATTTGCAGAAATTCTGGACCTTGCCACCATAAATGACTCTCTTTTAGTACACTGGGTAATAATCCTCGTGATGCTGGATCAGCGGGGTTCTCTTTTGTATTAATGTACAACCACTGAATATTCAAATTGTTTCTAATTTCTATAACTCTATTTTTAACAAATGGTGTCCATTTATTTGGGTCGCCATTTATCCAGGCCAATGTTACTTTGGAGTCAGACCAAGCAAATGTTTTACTGGTATCAATGGAAAGTATTCTCATAACATGTTTAAGTAATTTACTTAACAATGCTGCTGCACATAGTTCCAAGCGCGGTAAAGATATTTGTTTTACAGGCGCAACTTTAGTTCTTGCCATAATCAACGTTGTTTGGCAGGGATTTTTATTATTACTCAATACTCTAGTATAAACTACGGCTGCATATGCTGATTGCGAGGCGTCTGCAAATCCATGTAACTCCACTTCCACATCAATAGTACTTCCATTCCATCTAGGAATCTTGATTTCGGACAGTACAGGTAAATCATTTTTATATTTATTCCATTCTTCTTTCAGATCATTCGACAGTTCTTCATCCCAATCTACTTGATTTAGCCAGAGCTTTTGCATAAATATCTTTGCTTTAATTATGGCAGGTGATAACCAACCCATAGGATCGAATAAAGAAGCTATCTGGCGCAATATATTTCTCTTAGTAAGTAAATTAGTATTTTCGCTTTTCATATAAGTAGGTGCTATTTTTAAACTGTCCTCATTTGTCTCCCACATAATACCCAAAGTCTTCACAGTCTCTTTATGATTTATATCTAATACAATACTATTCACTCTTTTCTCAGGATCTATTGAATTCATAAATTCTTGACTATTTGAAGATATTTTTTGTAATTCAAATTTTCCTTTCAATAACATTTCTGCTAACTCTTTTTGTGCATTTATCGCATCGCTCACATTATCAAAACCAGTTAATACATCGTCCATATAAAAGTCTGAATTCACAATTTTTGAGGCAACAGGATACTGTGTATTTTCATCTTTAGCAAGCTGTCTCATGGTTTTTATTGCAAGGTAAGGTGCTGAAGCCATGCCAAAGGTAACTGTCAGTAATTTATAGGTTTGTATTTCATTATTTTGATTAAATCTATATAATATTCTCTGATATTTTGTGTCTCTCTCTTGTATTTTTATTTGGCGATACATTTTAATAATATCTGCCACAAAAACTGCCACAAAAATCTAACTCTTTTTATGTCAAAAGTTCTCCATTGACGACAGGCGACACATATAAGCGGCGTCGCGACGCACCTATAATATTTGTGTAGATTAGGTAGATAATTATCTCTGTTTTTAAGACTCGATTCACTGTTTTGTAAATGTGTTTTACCAGCGTTCATTTCCAATCAATGAATATTTGTTGGCCTTTTGTGATAAGATAACACCGTTACTATTTTCTAGCCATCGGGTTTATGATGACCGTAGGGTTTCTTATTGTAAACATATTCTTATTGTGACTAACGGACGGAACACGTAATTCTCTTTATGAATATTGTCCAATCCGTGTTTACAGTGCATTGTAATTAGACAAGGAAATTGGTTATTGCACCAATGTTAAATATTCTGCAATGCATTCTTTATGATGACTGTTAGTTTGTTTTAAGTAAGGGAATTTCGGCAATGTGCAAAGATATTGTTATGAAGTTGTATAACGTTGTGCATTGTCTGATAGAAATAAGGTTTGGTTTATTGCCAGTAAGAATTTTGTAAGGACTGTAGTCCCCACTACAGTCTATACCTCCCATATATAAGGCGAGGAATTTTTGTATCGAGTTAGTCGTAATATAGTTATAATGCAGTGATAATACTGTTATAATAGAGGGACTCAGACAGTCATAGTCGGATTGTTATATGCCGACGGCTGTCATAATCTACGGACGGCAGTTATAGTCCGTTATTATTTAGTCAGTCGCGGTAGTCGTAGGTAATCCTATAGACGCCCAGTCGAAACTTGAATTAATCGAATACGGTTATAACTCAATTGTGAAACTTCTGTGGAGAGAAAAAACAGGCATCGAGAGACAACCGTTTCTTTCAAACCCCACCATCGATACAGTCCACTGCTCTCCCTGAGGATCGCCAACAACTCCGTTTGTACCTCGACACGAGCATCAAATACGACACGCACTTTCGATGTTGTTTTATCATCTCTGAAAACTGCGTGATGCGGTAAGTAGACTGTATCTTTCTCTCTCTCATCTTTTACTAATTCCATATGGTTTAATGTTATATACTCTTTTAACACATTATCATACTCTCGTTTTAAGTTTTCATTTCCAGCCAATCTTCTCTCTAAACCTCTTAATCTTCTCATTGCTATTTCTCTAGAATTTTCAGGTAAGATTGGATTGTCTCTCACAAATGGTAAGCTGACTACATATCGTCCTTGTTCATCTCTCATGACTGTTTTCTCATATATTTCTTCTGCTCTTGCTTCTTGGGAGGTAAGTGTATTTTTATTCTCAGACTCTAGTGACTCACATTCCCAAAATCTCTGTAGCATATTATCTAACGTTACACTCAAATGCATACTAATAATTTGGCCCTTATTTGGTAATCTCTCAACAGCTTCGCCGCCAGATATTATCCACCCTAAGTAAGTTTGTTGGGCGATTGGTTCTCCTTGATTTCTCTTTAAAACTCCACTCATCAAAATATCTGTGTAGACATGAACACCCAATAAAAGGTCTACATTTCCAGGTGTATGGTAAGTTGGATCTGCTAACTCGATGCCACTGAAATGTGTCCAATGCTCATAATTTATTCTTGTAGCGGGCATGATATCTGTAACATGCTTAATTAAATAAGCAGTACACTTTAATTTATAATTTTTATTCATTCTAGAGGACAACTCAATCTCCGCCGCGTGCTTGAATGGGGTAGACATCTGTCCAACTGCTGATACCTGACCTTCTACATCTTTACATTTCAATTGTAATCTCTTTACAACTGCTTCACTTATAAATGATTCTTCTGAGCAAGGGTCTATTAAAGCTCGTACAATCTGTGGCCCTCTGCTCGTTTCTAAATTCACCAAAGCAGTAGCAAGTAATGACACACGGCCTCGTATTGACACATGTGAAAGAATATTGTGTTGACTCGTTGTTTGATTATCTGGTGTTCTAATCTCTTCAGTCTCATTATTAATAGTCTCTAAATTTGGTTTAGTTATATGTATCAACGTGTGGTGCTTTCTATTACAGATATCGCATCTCATTCTATATCTACAAAATTTTACACTATGACCAGGACGCAAACAATTAAAGCATAATCTCTCCTTTTTAATGTACTCTGTTCTCATAACTGGATCTAGCTTAATAAACTCTTTGCATGAAAATATGTCGTGATTCTCTTTACACTTTCCACATTCTATATTTCTACTTCTATACTCTGTATTTCTTTTTACAGCATTACTAGTTATTGTAGCAAACGATTTTGGTTTAATTTGAGTTCTCTCTTTCATATAAGATGTTTGAATCATTTCTGTTACTCTAAATCTTCCTTCTAAATATTTCTTAAATTTTTCTAACGTAGGTAATTCTTCAACAGGTATTGTTTGCAATTCTTCTTCCCATGTTTTTTGAGACTCCGAGTCTAATTTATTACTAATTATATGTATTATTAATGGATCCCAATTCTCAATATTAATGTTGTTATTCTTTAAATTATTTAAACATTCATTTGTTGTATCTAATAAATCTTTTATGTTCTTTGATGAAGCTGTAAATATTCGTCTCTGTCCCAAAAGTCTAGTCAAAATTGAATTTACTATTATTCTTTTATTATTATATCTATTAGATAATGTACTCCAGGCGATGTCATAATTATTTTCGGTAATTTGTATGTGTTTCAAAAGTTGTTCAGCTTCGCCAGTTAAACTGGACTTCAGGTAATGCATCTTTTGTATTTTACTCAAATTTTTATTGATATGAATTAATGATATGTACAAATCTTTGAATGTTATCCACTCGCTATAATCGCCTTGGTATAGGGGTATATTTATTTTGGGTAATTTTACGTCTTGATTTACATATTTTGTACATGGCTCCTGGACTTGATGACTCAAAACTTTCTAACATCTCTGTGATATCTGCTTTGCAAAACAAATACTCTTCTTCGCATTTCGAAAATAAATCCTTTTCAAAATATTCATGCTTCTTTCTTTGTTCTAATGTAGATGTCTTTACTATATTTCTATGTGTCTCATCAAAGATATCCCAATGTTTCTCTAAACTTTCTAATCTCACTTTCAAGTAACTTTTATTTATTCTTGGCTTCGGTGTTTTCTTAAAATTAGATATAGTTTTTTGTAAGATAGAATAATTATTTTCTTGAAGCACTAATAAATTTTCCATTTTTCTAAATATTTTTTATACACTGAATAAATATTAAATGTTTTTAAAACAAAAAAAAAATGTTTCGATATTATAAGTCAATAATCACTATTTCAAATAAAATATTGTGTAATAGTTACTTTATGAACTGAGTCCAACGGAACGTCTGTACCGGTATTGTCTATGGTCTATTTTCGCGCTCACTTAATTACACTGTGCTCAATGTATTTATTAAATGTTCAATTATTTAATAATATCACTCAAAATACAAGTTCTTTTTTATTTTAAACTTATCCGGATCGTAAGGACCACTTAATATGAAGGAATTATTTCACTAAAACAACCTTCAAAACTCAAACACACAATTTTTATTCTCAACAAACTTTTTATTCCACTAATTTTAACAATCAATTTTACAGACTCTCTAATACTACAGATTATAGACCACAGAGTAATTACATTTTTAGATTGTAATATATTTGTTTTTTTTTTTTTAATCAACTTCAACAATATTTAATCAATAGTCTCATCAATAAGTTTCAAGCTTCTAGCTTCAAAAATGACGAATTTATGAAGCTAGTAATTTTTTACAAACATTGAATGTCATTTTTATTTATATTTAACCAACAGCCTCAAAAATAAGTTTCAAGCTATAGCTTAAAAAATAACGAATTTACATAAAAATTTGCAACCCCTATTTTATTTTACCCCCTTAAGGGTAATTTTTTACAAACAATGAATGTCATTTTTATTTATATTTAATCAACAGCCTCAGAAATAAGTTTCAAGCCTCTAGCTTAAAAAATGACGAATTTACATAAAAACTTGCATCCCCTATTTTATTTTACCCCCTTAAGGGTAATTTTTTACAAACATTGAATGTCATTTTTATTTATATTTAATCAACAGCCTCAAAAATAAGTTTCAAGCTTCTAGCTTCAAAAATGACAATACTTCCATACAAAATCATTACAACCCTTTTTTCGCTTTAAAAAGTAGCCTATGTCCGTTCTCAGGGTCTAGACTATCTGTATACCAAATTTCATTCAAATCGGTTCAGTAGTTTTGGCGTGAAAGCGAGACACACAGACAGACAGACAGACAGACAGACAGAGTTACTTTCGCATTTATAATATTAGTAAGGAAGTAAGGAAGTGAGGATTTTTGTCGCAGCACAAAAATATATTTTTTCCGTACAAATAGTAACTTTACAGTGTTAATCTACAAACCAACATTTTGTTTCTTACAATCAGCTAAATAATTTAAATAGTTTCATAATATATGACACAATGAAAAGGTAATTTATTTTATAAAAAAGGCAGTTAGTTTTTATTTTAGTGGAAAATAAAAAAAATATATTTTGATACAACAACAATATATTTATTAACACCTATACTTTATTAATTTTGTGTTAATGCTTTTTAAATAAACACCCACACATTATTTCTGTATAACCTACAAAAATGGGTAAATAATTTAATTTCGGATAGTGCCACACCACAACATTATTTAGAAAATGTAAATAATAAAATGTGAAGAAATTGTGATTGTTATTAAGTTTTTTTTTAATAAGTTCGTCAGAACAGGGAATGAACATTTGACGTTTATTATTATTTGACATTGGACATTAACTTTAATTTTTGTAATTTATATTGTAAAACTTTAAGTTGGGCTAAAATAAAACAAATTAATAAAATAAATTGCCAAATTTGTCTCGCAATCGGCCAATTTCAGGTTTAAAGAAAAAAACACAGACACACGATATACGATTTTATCATAAAAAAATGTCAAAAAGCAAGATCTTTCGTTTTACATTATGTTATCTGTGGTTTTGTTCTCTGTGATGGATACCTTATTGGCGCAAACGCACGCGATGTGTTGATTGGTTGTTAGCTAGTGAAATGAAAAGATGACGAATAAGTGTGCGATGTATTCAACCGCATAAAGATAACCTTGTATTTCCATTTTGAACCCCTTACAACCATTTTTTCGCATTAAAAAGTGGCCTATGTCCATCCTCGGCGTCTAAACTATCTGCGTACCAAATTTCATTTAAATCGGTTCGGTAGTTTTGGCGTGAAATCGAGACAGACAGACAGAGTTACTTTCTCATTTATAATATTAGTAAGGAAGTAAGGAAGGAAGTAAGGATTAATCGGGTATGTAGCAATTAACTTGAAATCAGATAGTGACTTTTGTTATCATTATAAAAGGATTTTATAAATATTAATATGTTTAGAATGATTTTCATTAAGAGTAACAAAATTGAAAGCACTGCACTTTTAATAAAGAAACTAGAGACTGCGTGTGTGCGCGGGCCTAGAGTCGCCTTTTTTTATCTTGAACATTTTCTTTTCGAATGGTCTTGGATGGCAAAAATTTATATGTTTTAATTTCTGTATACTATTTTGATCTGTGGCCATACATGCTATTGTAATGCCATCACATTACAAAACCTAACCTAAACGACTTTTTTTATTGCTCATATATAGATATGTGGCTACAATTTCCATTTTAGTGGTCATGAAAACCAACCCACTTTTCTATATATATACATATTTTTATTTATTTATTTATTTATTAAACTTTAATGCACAGATACATTAATAAAGGTGCACATGGCGGACTTAACACCTAGAGGCATTTTCTCCCAGTCAACCATAGGGCAAACAGAGATTCATGTGGGCGGTACATTATGATTAACATAATACTTACATAACGTAATAATATATATATATATATATATATATATATATATACATACCAATACATATACATACAATATATATACAAATCAACAATGAAAGACAGATTCCTGAAGGAGGAGAGGTAGAGGAAGATTAAATAGTATTTAAATTTGGGATAAAAAGAATTACTCTAGTTCAAAGAAAGGTGTTTACGCAATTTTGATTTAAATGAGAATTTGGCGCGCGAAGCGCTGGATTTAATGTCAAGGGGTAACTCATTCCAATGTTTGATGGCTTGTAATGTGAAGGATTTTGAAACGAAGCTCGTACGATGAGCAGGAACGTGGAGAAGTAAATTCCTAGACGGGCGAAGGTTGCGATAGATGTCCCCATGAAAAAGAAATTTGGTATTAAGATACTCGGGAGAGTTAGGATCGTATAGTAAAGAATGAAGTGTACACAAGAGACGAACAATTCTGCGTTGGCGGATTGGAAGCCATTTAAGCTGAGCACGATAAGAGGAGATATGGTCGTACTTGCGAAGACCGAAAATGTAACGTATACAATTATTAAGAAGGCGATCCAATTTATTTAGAAGTTCTTCATTCATATCCGAGCAGCACACATCAGCATAATTGATAATGGGAAGTACCAGGGATTGAATGAGTAAGATTTTGGTACTGGTAGGAAGAAAACTCTTAAAGCGATATAAGTTACGCAAGGTGTATGTTACTTTACGACTAACCTCATTGACGTAATTACTCCAGCTGAGGGTGGTATCAATTGTTAATCCAAGGTCTTTAACATTTGAGCAATATGGTATCGACATTTTATTGAAGATTACTGGTGGAATAGAAGTCAAGTCCCGTTTACTTAGTTGTCTCGAGCTACCCAAAATAATTGCTTGGCATTTGCTAGGGTTAACAGTGACACCGAACCTAGCCGCCCAGTCCTCAACATATCATGGTGACCTGTGACTATAATATCTATACTTTGTAACGTTTCACTCCTTTCCTAAGAATAGAATAGAAAATCATTTATTCAAATAAACTTAATATAAGCACTTTTGAATAGTGAACAATTTTTTTTTAAATCTACTGCTCATTCGGAAAGCTGTCTGTCCTCAAGAAGAATAAGCAAGAAACTTGTGTGTTGCTCTTTTAAACAAACCTTGTAAGTTCACATTTTACAAGTCGAAACGTGTGAATACAAACTACCAACTACCAAGCACTAATTTATTTAGGCTCAAATATAAAAACACAATAAGATTAAATCAGTCGTAGTGATAAGAGCAGACCAGTCCCTACAAGCGGCACTCGTTCACGAGTATGACTGATGAGCCCGCCACGCCGCCACATGTCTGGACATTTTAGTGAGCATGACTGCTCATTACACTCGACCTCGTCATAGCTACTTATTTAAATTTACTATATGGTAGTTACAGTATTCGCACTTTACATAAGGATGCATGCGGCAATCAATACAAAAGCCGCTACGCTATCATATTTCAAGAAAGCAGTATGTAAAAGAAATTATAACGTTGTCTGCTAAAAAACTTATTCTTGTTAGATATTGCTATCTTTTATGAATTCATCTATCCTATAATAGGCTTCTTTACATAATATTTGTTTAATATAAATTTTGAATTGATACAGAGAGGCACTGTCAGATTTATAGTAGATTCTGGTAGTTTATTATAGAATCTTACGCAATTAATAAGTTTTAATATTTTCATAAATGTACTGCGAGGCAACGGTCAGGATATTTAATTCTTTAAAACATTGACGTAATGACTCTCTCGAACCCATACCATAAATGGCTCTCTTTTTGTAAAATAAATATAGTATTTACATCGGAAGCTTTACTCTACAGCAGTATGCTATATGACATAATGCTATGGAGATTAACTAAAATATACAAGTTTTGGCGTCGCCACGTCTGTTAATTGCCTTATTCTTCTAATTGCATAAGCAGCAGAACCGAGTCTACTGGCTAATTTTGAAATATGGGGCCCCCATTGTAACTTCGAATCCACTGTTACTTAAAAAAAAATTGTAACATTAACTAAATACATTATTTCATCATGAAGCAATAGCTGCGTATTTATTTGTCTTACATTAGGAAACCTGAATTTAATACACTTAGTTTTGTTAGAATTTAATAATAGGTTATTATATGTCAACCAATTTAAATATAGCAGAGATAGCATAATTTACATCGTCTAATTGATTACTTTGGCGACCAATTTTAAACACTAACGAAGCATCATCTGCAAATAACACTATATCTGCAATTTTCTCTACCATGTAGGGAAGGTCATTTATATAAATTAAAAAGAGAAATGTGTCTAAGATTGAACCTTGAAAAACACTGAGAGCATCCTGTGACTGCTCCAATGATTTGAATATATATGTAATAAGCGCTACGCCTGCATCAGTAGTAGACTTACCGACTTTCACTTAGAACTGGCAATATAGAAATTGATTTATAGCTGCCTAGCTCAAATCTATCTACTGATTTAAGCAGTGAAATGAATTTGCTAAATTTGCTAAAATCATTAGTTGAGGAAAAACGCCATTATCAACACATTTATTGAAAATAGTAGCTAGATAAGAAGCAACAATATCTATGAATGAACTAACTACTTTAACTGACATGCCCCAGAGATCTTTCGTTTTTTTTTTTTAACTGTTTGAATACTTTTATTATATGAAAAGGGCTGAAACGTGAAAATTTAAATGTTAAAGAACAAGGGCCGACATTAGCCTCCAGGAATGTTTTTGCTTGAATGGGAGATGAATCCAGAGAAGATGTAATGTCAATCGGAATATTAGCAAAAAAATCTTGGAAAATATGAACTATGTCTTTTGTTGCTGTTATTAACTTATTGTCATAATTTAATGAAAATTGATAGCTGGCTATTCAGATCTTCTTTAGATTTAGCTGCAATACAAACTTGTGTGAAAATTTTAGAATAATTTCTCACATAAGTGGTAAATTTGTCATCAAATCTATATATTTTTTGCTCATATAAATCAAACAAAATGTTTCTACTTTTAAGTATTCCCAATGTTGCCCATTCTGTAAATTTAGATTTAACACAATATTCTTTTTTCTTGAAAATATTCTGATAAACTTGGTGTAAAGAATATCAGGATTATTGCTAGATTGTAACTGTAAGTCTAATTTATATTCAACAGTGCCTTTATATTTATTAATATTGTAAGCATTTATGTGTCTGTTTGATTTTTTGTTATTGTTATTTTTTTTAGTCTGATTACTAAACTTAACAACTTGACCACAGTGATCTGAAGGAAGTTTATTTATTATTATTTTTTCAATATACTCACAGTTACAAAAAACATTGTCAAGACAAGTAGCAGTTTGTTTGTATTTGTTTGTAACACTTTATTGTACAGTAAATACATTTAAATTAACTAAAGATACGATTTAAAAAAAAATATATAGTTGTACAAATGAGGGATTTCTTCCAGTCAACCTTTGAATGAATGAAAGGAATTGTGGAGTGGTGGGACTATATATATACATGACAATAACAACAAAGGAAAAAGAAGCAAACGCATTATATAACTATAATATATAACAACTAGAATATTAAATAAATATTTAAGTATAATATATAAATACATATACCTAAATATATATAAAGTAATAATAATAAAATAACAAATGTATAAATAGTAATAGCAGAAATATATAAAAAACAAGACTACTATATAAAAAAAAAAATATGAAGAATACTAAAACAGCGCATCTGCAGTGTGACTCCAAAGTTTTTTAAGGCGAGCCTTAAATGAGTAAACCGATGAAGACAATCTGACCTCCATTGGCAAAGCATTCTAAAGTCGAGCAGACTATATTGTAAAGGAGTTAGTGTAACAATGACTCGTATGACACGGTATTGCCAAAACTAGATTATGACTGGAACGAAGACGGTCATCAGTCCGTAACCGGAATCTTTCCTGCAGGTACATGGGCGAACTGGAGTTGTAAAGGATCTGATATAAAAGGGTAAGCAAATGGATGTTACGACGGTCACGAATAGGAAGCCAATTAAGTTGCTTACGATAGACAGCGACATGATCAAACTTACGTAAACCGAAGATGAATCTTATGCAGAGGTTTTGCAAGCGCTCCAGTTTATCAAGTAACTCTAGGAAAATGGAAGGATCTAGGGAGGCACTGTCGGCATAGTCCAGCAACGGAAGAAGGAGAGAGTGGGCTAGCAGAAATTTTGTACGCCAAGGCAGAAAAAACTGAAGGCGTCTATGCGAGTGGAGTGAAGAAAAAAGTATATATACGACTTATCTCACCAATGTGAGGCCCCCATGAGAGCGTCTGATCCATGATAATTCCCAGGTTCTTCACAGTAGAAGAGAAAGGAATGTGATTGCCATCAAAGGCAACAGAAGGAATATACACAGATCTTAGACTACAGATGTAATGATGACTGCCAATAATAATAGCTTGGGATGTATTAGCATTGATTAAAAGGCTAAAGCTTTTTGACCATTCGGCGATAGCGCAGAGGTCATTATTAATACTATAGATAGCATTAGCTAAGCTATCGATAGAAGCAGCAGCATACAATTGAAGGTCATCATATAAATGAAATGAGGAGGATAGAGATTTAGTAATACCATTAATAAAAAGAGAAAAGAGTAAGGGCGAGAAGATACCACCCTGTGAGACACCCGTCAGTACCTCAGCCCAGTCGGAACGACTATCATCCACCTTCACCAATTGACGCCGGCCAAACAGATAAGACCCAAACCATGAAAGGGCAGACAATGAAAAGTTTATGGAACGCAGGATACACAGCAACAGGTCAAAATCTACCGACTTAAATGCATTAGTGAAATCGAGAAGAACTAAGACAGATAGGTTCTTATTTTCAATGTTTTGCCTGATGTCGTCAGTAATTTTAACAAGCGCAGTAACAGTGCTATGTACAGCACGGAATCCTGACTGGTACGGACTCAGAAGGTTGTTTTTGAGTACGAACTCGGACAATCGCCGAAGAATAAAATGTTCTAAAATTTTGGAAGGAACTGGGAGTATGGATATGGGACGAAAGTAGGATATGGAAGTCGGGTTGGATTTCTTGGGAAGAGGAATGACGTGACTAAATATACAAACAGAAGGAAATGTACCTAAGGATAGGGAGCAATTCAAGATATCTACGATAAGAGACGCAAGCAGTGTCTTGTAAGGTTCAATCATATCTAGTCCGATACCATCATCACCAACGGCCCTAGAATTGATTGAATTTAGATTTTTTAAAAGCTCATCGACCGATATTTCCCCAAGCGTGAAAGGGTCGCCATTAATAAGAAGAGAATCAGCGAGGAAAGTTACAGTTGCTTGTTTAATAATAGGATTTAAAGTCCCAGGGGCAGCGGCAAAAGCTTGGTTGATCTCATTAAGATTCGTAAAGTTAAAATCTCCGGAATGACGTTTACCGATGCCTAAATTACGTAAGTAACTCCATAGTTTACCAGAAGGGCAACCCTCAATATTGGTGTGGATATGCCTACGCCTAGCTTGACGACACAACCTATTGCACCTATTCCTCAAAGCAATATAACTTTCACGAGAACTATCATCGGAATTGCGACGCAACCTCATCCTAGCTCTGTCTCTCCTACACATAAGAGCTTTTAGCTCCGGTGTTAGCCAAGGAGCAGGATTGTATTTTAGGCGCACTTGCTGAACAGGAGCATGTTTATCATAAACATTCAGGAGTAATTGTTGAAATGCAGCCACTTTAGAGTCAATATCGTTGGCCGATAGGATGGGGCTCCAGTCAGCATGACGTAGATCATCCTGCAAGGTATTAATATCCACGTTGCCAAAATTACGTCGTAGTACTCTATTCCTGCGCTTGGGATAACGGAGTTTAAAGGAGGAAAAATAAGATTATGACTTGAGAAGGCCACTGCACAAAACTGACCATGAGATACAACTAGGTTCGGAGAAGAGGTAATAACAAGATCAAGAAGAGAGGGCGGACCGGTATGTGGAAAGTGAGTAGGAAGGAGGGGAAGGACATTGAGATTAAGAGAATGAAATAAAGAGAGTAGCGTATTGGAGCGGTGATCATTTTTGATTAGCAGTCATGGCGGTTATACGAGTGGGTTCCTGAAAGACATTACTTAAATCAAATGACTGAAATAAACTAATAATTTTTGTACGTGTGGGCGTATCACAAAGAATATGCACGTTAAAATCTCCACACACAATATTTTTTTTACTGCTATTAAATACTTTTTTTAATATATCCTCCATCACCTCTTCAAATACATTGTAATCACTACAAGGAGACCTATAAACACATATAAGTATCAATTTTTCTAGTTCTATACATGAGATTTCTGTACAACACTTAATAGAAAGTACAACAATGTCAGCACTTTCCTTTACTTTAACATTATTTCTTGCAATTATCATAGACCCACCTCTGTTAACTCACTTTCTATTGAAGCAGCTGATAACATTACAATTATTTAAACTGAACATCATATTGCCATCTTCAAACATACACCATTTTATAAATTTGTGTAGTCTTCATTACTTTAATAAAATCTATTAGGAGATAAAATACTAAGTTAACATTCATAAAGTAACGTAAAGTAAGTAATGCAAAATGTCGTTACTTCGATTGTATTGTCAGCTCGGGTGCAGCAATGGTAGTCTTCTACACTGCGCTATGTAGTCCATGGTGTTGATAATGTGGAAACACTACACACTACTATATATTGTATATAACGTGGATTACCAAGAACAGTGTATGTTTTCTTGATGTGTACATGGTGGTGCGATGATTGTGGCTTGCAGTTGAGTTAAACTTCTGATGAACTTGATTTTCACGATGATAACAGCGCTGGTTCTCTTGTCACTATTCTTCAAGCAAATTTTTTAATAATCTTTTTAACACTTCAACACCGGACACAACACTTAATTAATTGTTTCACTTTATGCGTTGGCGTTAATATTTGCAGACAGAGATTGAATAGCGATGGCGACCGGCGGTCAACTTGAACTAACTGGGCGGAAGTCTTCTTTAATAATTTCTTCTTGTAACATCTTGCATAGTTTAAAGAAATAGGAAAAGGACATATCTGGTATGCGTATGCGTGACTGAGACAGCTATCTAAATTAAGTATCAAACCAACTATCGATGCGTACGGAAAGTATAGGTAAACATAGCGTAAACAGTGTCAAATATATATTAAATCAAAATCATTAATATTTTTTATTAAATGATGCTGTGATTAAAAAATATACTTAACGGTCGAAATCTTCTGGTAGAGAAATTTACAGTATATACCATATACTCGTACCAGTTCATAGTAGTAGTTCAAAAATAAAGTAAGTTCATAGAATACACACAGCTGGTACATAATTTGTATGAATTAGTGGTTAATTTCTTCTTTACTAACGGAAGAGAATGTACTATATGTTAAACTAGGTATAACTTATTTTTCATAGGAAGATACGTTTGATTTACATATTCCATTTTTAATTCATATTAATCGGGTATGTAGCAATTAACTTGAGAATCAGATAGTGACTTTTGTTATCATTATAAAAGGATTTTATAAATATTAATATGTTTAGAATGATTTTCATTAAGAGTAACAAAATTGAAAGCACTGCACTTTTAATAAAGAAACTAGAGACATATAAAAACACAATAAGATTAAATTAGTCGTAGTGATAAGAGCAGACCAGTCCCTACAAGCGGCACTCGTTCACGAGTATGACTGATGAGCCCGCCACGCCGCCACATATCTGGACATTTTAGTGAGCATGACTACTCATTCAACTCGACCTCGTCATAGCTACTTATTAAAATTTATTATATGGTAGTTACAGTATTCGCACTTTACATAAGGATGCATGCGGCAATCAATACAATAGCCGCGACGCTATCATATTTCAAGAAAGCAGTATGTAAAAGAAATTATAACGTTGTCTGCTAAAAAACTTATTCTTGTTAGATATTACTGTCATTTATGAATTCATCTATTCTATAATAGGCTTCTTTACATAATATTTGTTTAATATAAATTTTGAATTGATACAGAGAAGGACTGTCAGATTTATAGTAGATTCTGGTAGTTTATTATAGAATCTTACACAATTACCATAGAATGAGTTACTAACTTTGTGTAGACGGCATTTAGGTAAAGTTAGCTTATTTTTATTGCGTAAGTTTCTGCTTGTACAGTCTTTAAGTTTTTTGAAACTATCTAAGTTTTTCCTTGTATACTTTTTTTGTGGGTAGCTGTGAAACACAACAGACGTAAAATTACACCTCTCTGTTTTAAATTTATTTATTAATTATTTAAAAGAAAAAGTTTTAATACTATTTACATGAATTTGTAAATCTAATCTATTATCTACCTGCTGTGATTATTTTCCTTTCATTCTTCTCTTCAAATCATTTCAAATGGACACACTGCACACTACAATGGCGGGTATGATGGAGTACTTTAATAAGACTATGGCTGAGTTCCAAAACCAGTTGCTGAAGGCAAACAACACACCAGCTACAGTGCCTTCGCTTGAATCTGACTTTGTCACTTTCCGGAGCTTTATAACAACTGCATTCACTAGTCTTCAGAAGCAAGTGGAAATAATTGCCCGCCAACAAGAACAGATAGTAGCAGCGTAGTAGACGCAAAATGTTGTTGCTGCATGGAGTGCCAGAGTCACAACGGGAATCTGTAGCCCAGGTGGTAGCAAAGGTCGTCATAGACAGGCTGGACATTGGAGACTTCACTACAGGACATATCTCTCGGTGTCACCGTCTTGGTCGAACATTGAAAGACAAGCCTCGCCCGATAGTTGTGAAGTTCCGTGACTTAGACATAAGGAATGAGGTATGGTATGCCAAAACTAAACTTAAGGGCAGCGGGATCACCATGTCAGAATTTCTGACTGCGGCCAGACACAGTGTATTCATGGCAGCTCGACAACGCTTTGGCATCAAAAACTGTTGGTCGCATGACGGTTTCATCGTTGTCGCTGATGGGGTTGGTACAAGGCATCGCATAAGTTGTTCTGGTGAGCTGAGCAAGCTGATTAGCTCATTGCCGGCCTCAACAGTCCAATCTGCATCGACCCCAGTCATTGCCAAAGACCCTGCCGTCACTACGATTCGATCAAAACGCCATAGAAAGTAGAATTGTTTGTTATTATTGTATGTCGAGTATTCTTTATTACTGATTCACTGTAGTATACACTTTTTCAATTTAGTTTTACCTCAGAAACTCATAATTATTACGCTACCTACGAATTAATTTTGTTTTCTTTTATATGTAAACATGTCAATAAGTAAAATATTAAAATCCTTATGTCTAATCAAAACTGTCAACTAAATGTCAAGTGTAGTGTTATTGTTTATCATTGACGATGTAAATTATGCTATCTCTGCTATACTAAATTGGTTCACATGTAATAATCTATTATTGAACTCCAACAAAACTAAGTGCATTAAATTCACGCTGCCTAATGTAAAACAAGTAAATACGCAGCTATTACTTAATGATGAAATAGTTAATTTTGTTAATGATACAGTTTTTTTAGGAATAACAGTGGACTCGAAGTTACAATGGGGGCCCCATATTTCAAAATTAGCCAGTAGACTTAGTTCTGCTGCTTATGCAATTAGAAGGATAAGGCAATTAACAGACGTGGCGACGGCAAAACTTGTATATTTTAGTTATTTCCATAGCATTATGTCATATGGCATACTGCTATGGGGTAAAGCTGCCGATATAAATACTATATTTATTTTACAAAAGAGAGCCATACGTTCTATTTATGGTATGGGTTCTAGAGAGTCATTACGTCAATGCTTTAAACAATCAAATATCCTCACCGTTGCCTCACAGTACATTTATGAAAATATTATGTATACAAGGAAAAACTTAGATAGTTTCAAGAAACTTAAAGACTGTACAAGTAGAAACTTACGCAATAAAAATAAGCTAATTTTACCTAAATGTCGTCTACACAAAGTTAGTAATTCATTTTATGGTAATTGCGTAAGATTCTATAATAAACTGCCAGAGTCTACGCTAAATCTTACAGAGAGGCAATTCAAATCTTATATTAAACAAATGTTATGTAAAAAAGCCTATTATAAGATAGATGAATTTATAGATGACAGCAATATATAGCAAGAATAAGTTTATTTGCGGACAACGTTATAATTTTAATTTTCATACTGCTTTCTTGATATATGATAGCGTAGCGGCTTTTGTATTGATTGCCGCATGCATCCTTATGTAAAGTGCGAATACTGTAACTACCATATAGTAATTTTTGTAGCTGTGACGTGGTCGTGTGGAATGAGTAGTCATGCTCACTAAAATGTCCAGACATGTGGCGGCGTGGTGGGCCGGGTCAATGGGCTCCCTAAAATATGGTCGAGCGCAGTGATGGCTGGCTCATCCGTCATACTCGTGAACGAGTGCTGCTTGTAGGGACTGGTCTGCTCTTATCACTACGACTGATTTAATCTTATTGCATGATTATATTTGACCCAAAAAATTAGTGCTTGTTGGTAGTTTGTATTCACACGTTTCGACTTGTAAATGTAAACTTACAAGGATTATTTAAAAGAGCAACACACAAGTTTCTTGCTCGTTCTTCTTGTGATGAGACAGCTTTCCGAACGAGTGGTAGATAAAAAACAAATTGTTATGACTATTCAAAAGTGCTTAAATTAAGTTTATTTGAATAAATGATTTTCTATTCTATTCTATTCATGTCAAGTTTAAATGTCGTTGTCTGTGTTCATTAGTGTTGTCAGTACGTAAAATAATCACTTTAGAGACGTTCCGTTGCACGTTCATTGTTTTTTTGTTTTGTTTATGCATATTAAAGGTTGAAAAATTTAATATGTAAAAATATTAATTAGAGATCTTTATGTGCAGGTAGATAATATTTTAAAAATTGTTAATTAATTTAAATTTTTTAAAAGTTATATTTATTTAGTTATTTGTTTATTATTTTTAATAATTAGTATATAAATATATGTTGGAAGAACATTACTCTTCATTTTCGAGTTCGACATCTAGTTATAATTCTACGTATAATGATTTTATTCCCCTTAATGAGACTTTAAATATTAACTTTGAGAATACTGTAAAAAAATTTAATGTGGTGCATATTAATGCTCAAAGCATTCCGGCCCATTTTCCTGATTTTCTAACATCTTTTAATGTCGAAAATTTACATGCTATCTTAATTTCAGAATCATGGTTAAAACCTTGTCTTCCATCTGTCTCCTATTCCTTGCCCGGTTTTAACCTGATTCGTAATGATCGTGTCAAGGGGGGTGGTGGTGGAGTTGCCATTTATCTTCGTGACTATATTTCTTATAAAATTATCCTCTCCTCTGATATATCCAACCCTTCTCTAGAACCAGAATTTCTTTTTATTAATGTTGATTTCTTGCACTCTAAAACTCTTTTAGGTGTTTTTTATAGTCCCTCATCTTCCATTGATTATTTCTCTTTCCTTGAAAACACCCTCGAAAATCTTATCCCCTCCTTTCATCATACTATTATTATGGGCGATTTCAACACATGTTTACTCAAAACTGACTACCGTGCTAACCGCCTTAGATCTCTTGCTGATTCCTGTAATCTGAATATTCTACCTCTACAGTCGACTCACTTCTTCCCAAACTGTAATCCTTCCCTATTAGATCTTCTGTTTGTCTCCTCCCTTAATCATGTTGCTAGGCATGGTCAGTGTCCTGCAGATGCGTTCTCCTACCACAATCTCATTTATCTTTCTTACAAAATCCGTCCTCCTAAACCTAAACATAAAGTCTTAATGCGGCGTAGTTTTGGTGGCATTGATCAAGTAAGATTGCGTAACGATGCGTCTGCTGCGGACTGGGTGGCTATTCACAATGCAACATCAGTGGATGACCAAATTAGATTATTTAACTCGCTTTTATTGGAAATCTACGACCGACATGCTCCTGTTCGTCCAGTACTGTTACATATGTATGTTTTTATGTATATAATAATATAGGATGCAAAGAGGACGTGACTCAAAGA